TAACCTAATAAAAGCTGAACCGAAAATCACAACCCAGTCCTATTATATTCAATATGATAGTTCACATACAACGTGGATCACAATATCTTAAACACAGTAATAATCGATGAGTTCTGAATTTATTACATTTTCTCAAATTAAGTTAAACCCGCGCCGGTGCGCGGGTCAAGATCTAGTTAGTTTTATGAAGCTAGAGTTACTTAGTGCTTAATAAGTCTTCAATATTTTTTCCCAACAAATACAATATACATTATGCGATAGAACTTGGGCCGGGTAATGAAACATCTTTAAATCAACAAGACAACAATTGTAGAGTTATCTAGAGATACACTACATATCCTGACCAAGTGTTAGAGTTATCTAGAGATAGACGTGGGTAATAAACTGAAATATGATTGATTATTAGTAAACTAGGTGTTTTGCCCGCATTTGCGGGTCTAAACATTTTATAATTATTTTATTAATACATCTTTTACTAATTAAAAGATTATAATGATAAAGTATTAATTGTGTTTTATTTTTTGAAACCAATAATATTTCTATTTTCATTTAACAATTCTTACATATATTTCTTTGTAATTTATGTTCACTCTTAAAAATAATTTTAAAATCAAATAATATTTTTCAGTTATATAAAATTAATAAGTTGACTTGATTAATATTTAGTTATGTATTTTCTATTGTTTTAAGTGTTAATTTTTATCAAAATATATATTTTCAGATAACATCACAATATGTATCAGAATTATCTTATTTAAAAAGATATTATTTAGATTTTGGATAATTAAATAATTTTAAAATCAAATAATATTTTTTAGTTATATAAAATTAATAAGTTGACTTGATTAATATTTAGTTATGTATTTTCTATTGTTTTAAGTGTTAATTTTTATCAAAATATATATTTTCAGATAACATCACAATATATATCAGAATTATCTTATTTAAAAAGATATTATTTAGATTTGGATAATTCTTTTGATTATTATTAATTTAGTTACTTATCTAATCCAAATAACTTAAATTCGTTTTTATTTTGTATGTAATTTATATATTATTTTCATTAAGGGTATAAACGATATTAACCAGTCTAATTTTTAACGTGGAAGCTCCGTTGCGAAAAAATCACTTCCCAAATAATATTATAGATTTGTGTTCTGTTATATTGCAATGTATTAGTTTATTAGGTTTATAACGCTTCCTTGGAAGTTTATGGTTTGTTTCAACGGTTTGTCCCTATCTATTTAACATAGATTGTCTTGTCATGGACCGTTTTGAACTGTCGTTGTTACAAGTTATAACACCACCACATTTACTACTTACTGGTGTGTCAATTCATTAACATATAGTTGAACACTTGTTTGAATTTTTTGAGATCGATTCTCAATAATAATTATGAGTTTACGATGAAAAGAAAAAAATATATATATAATGAATATTTTTTAATTTATAAAGAAAAAACAAGACATTCGCACACGATAAACTTGGGTTTAATTTCAGAGGAATTCGTTTTTCTTTATCAAGCTGGTGTAACAACTTAAAATATTCTCAGTTCCTCACACTAATGATAAAATCAGTATTGGGCAAAGCTATCCTTAAGGCTATAAACCTATTACACACGAAAACAGTTAGAAAACATACAAAAATAGAAAACAAACTGCATATATGCTACAAAAATCTGAAAAATATATAGTATTTTGTGTAAGATGCAGACTTACAGTATATGCATATTTATAGCTTAATCAAATAATTCCCAATTTAATTTTGGATGGAGCGGCTTAGCCGTTTTAGCATTGGCCGCAGAGGTGGAATTGGAATCAAACGTTTCCCATCTCGTGGTTATAATAACCGGAGGATCTGGCGAGGGAGCCGCGCATTTTCTCGACGTTTCCTCCTCAAATGTCACAAGATCTCTTTCCTTGCGTTGTGGTTGTGTTTGTGGTTTCAGTTGCGTTTGCGGTTGCAATGAGTTCTTGACCTTCAATACGTCAAGTGCCTCAACGTACTTCTGTAATCTTTCCTCCTTACATAACAAACCATAACATTAATTTAGCATTCATTAAAAAAAAATCAAATGCTAGCTTTTCTTATAATTTAAAAGTTAGACAAAAGATTCATGACGATTTTTTTGATTTAATTCCTCACTTTTAAAAAAGTTATTGTACAAATTACAAAACTTTAATAGTCTCTAAATTATCGAATTTCTTACATTAAAATTAAATTTAAGAGTTTCATGGCCTTATAAATATCAAATCTTGTCATGCCAAGATCCATAGCAACTACTAATAAGTATATACCTGAATCTTCTTCTTTAGTTTTATGTCTCCATCGCATAGAATTGCATCTAACTTCACCAACTGGTTCATCAACATCTCCAGCAAACTCTCCAGACTCTCCTCTTCAACTTTCACTCCTTTACCAATCACTACCTCAAACGCCGACAGCTAAAATCCAAAATAATATGAAAATTTCATTATTAATTAAAGTATTGCGGGAAATTTTGAAAATTCAGTTAATATTAAGTTATATACTTTCCCGGCGAGTCTATCGGCTTGGAAGCTAATGTCGGATATTGATTTATTAGCTTTCTCTTTAACGACCAGTTTCCTCATCTCAAGGAGACGTTTCTCCTGAGAAATTGGATCTTCTTTGAGAACTAGTCTCGAACCATCTTTGACACCACAAAGATCAAGAAACATTTTAGAATCTCTTTCTTTGTCTTTGTATAGAATCTTCATGTCTTGATGATGAACTCCTGTCTTAACAGACAATCTCTTCTTTAATTCCCCTTTTTAAATATTCAACAACAAGGATTAAAAATAATAATGATAATAGTTTTTAAAAAATTAAAACTGTTTTTTTGTTTTTGTTTTTGTTTTTGTGTTACCGAAAGTAGATTGAGAGTTGATACTGATCTCATGATGGACCGACCCGAATTTGACCCGAACATGGATGTCACGTGGAACGTTGGAGCTATCATCTGATCGTCTCTGAACAACCATGCCACCAGGTCGGAGCTCCCATTCACCGTCGCCGGCGGCGGCTGTTCCAATTGTCATTTTCATCATTTTTGTTGTTTTCTGATCGGAAATTCCAAAGTCTTTAGACTTTTACATATAAAAGAAAAATCTATAGAGAGAGAAAAGTGAAATGATGAGATGAACTTGATTTGTGAACACGATCAAGAAGAATAATAAATAAGAACTAAGATGTAATAAGTAAAAGAAATAAAAGTTTGTTTTGGTCAGAGTAAATATACTAATGATTTTTAATAATTTATTTTTTTATTTCTCTCATGGAAGAAGAAAAGATATAAAAAAAATACTAAAACCATTTATAAACTTTTACAAAAATGAAAAAAGTGAATAATGTGATCGTTGGTTGTTATGTCTCACTATCAGTCATGACACATACATAAATGAATATATATTATGTTACAACCCCACATATTTATAATATGTTACAACCCCACATATTTATTTGTTGAATAATAAGTATAACGAAACTAATGTCCCCAACACGTATATTTAATTTTTCATCTCTATCAAGTCGTGTTCAACATTTTTGAAGTACAAGTATTCTATTGCACCAACTGAAACAGTAACTTGTATTACACGTCATCTCTCAGCTCCGACAAACTCTGCAACCTTTAATGTCTAGCCCCCAGACACACATTGTCTCGACCTTTAATCGGTGCGATGTGCCAATGTCCATGGCAGATAAATCACACACGCGAGATTTGTGTAAGAACATGAGTCTTTTTAACCGTTGGAAGTGTTGTTAATTTATGGTGGCTAATGATGGGCCTAAAGTGGTGATTTCTTGATAAAATGATCTTAATATGCTAAGCCCATTAAAAGCACTATAAAAGGCTAGAGCTTGATTTAATATATTTGTTATTGGGCCCAAGAATTGTGAGAAATAGGCTTTGTGAGAAAGCCCGTTAAAGGGGCTGATGAAACATGCTAGGGTAATGTATTTTTTAATTGTTGTGTCTAGGCTAGTCTGGGCATTCGGTATCCCAATCAGATTTCGTTTTTTTAATCAGATCCGATTTTTCAGGTTTATCAAAATCAAACCCCATTTGGATTATTTGAAAATTCGGGTTGGGACCGGTTCAGATTCAGTTCAGAGTTAGTAAATCTTCAAAGAATCGGTATAACCTGTTGTACTTTCGGATTCGGATCTCAATTGGTTCTTTGGTTTAAAAGTATCTGACTTGAACATACTTTGTAACCAAAACATAAATAAAATTGGTTCTTCGGATTTAAAGTACCTGATTTATAACTATTTTGTAACAAAAACACAAGTAAAATTGATTTTTAAAAATAAAAAAGAACATCAAACATGATCATTCAAAATCAAATGAAAAGTAGACATAATTACTGATAGAAATAAAACTAAATAAATAAAAACATTAAATGAAAACCAAGTTTTTAAGAAAAAAGAAACATTATTCAATAAAAAAAACTAAATCTAAACATTCAAGATTCAACCGCCACATTCAACCATCAACATTCATGTAAAAGATAATTATTTTAGATGTTTAATAATATCTTAAAGTATTTTTGCTACATATTAGGAATTGAAATCATGTTCGGTACATGTTATTTTTTGAATTTTGAAGGTTTCGGTTCTATCGAAAATCTATTTAGTTTTGGGTTCGGTCCGGATAATATCTATAACCCAAAATACCATAAAACAATATTCATTCAGTATTTTTATCGGATTTAGATCGAATTCATTTTTATCGGATTGAAATTGGTTCGGGTTTTCGGATTCGGATTATTTGCCGAGTCTTAGTTGTGTCTTAAAAGAAAATTTAAGCAAAAAAATAAAGTGGATATTTGTCGTAGCCCACCCACTCATTCACAGCTGCAATCATTGGCAATACTTACCATACATGCATCATAGAAGATCCCACCTCTTAATCCAACGATCCAAAATAAAACTCCCTTTATAAATCACGCGGTCACAATTCGCCACGCGATCATAAGATCTAAAGGTTACCAATCCATCAAGCGATACTTGTTATCACACACTCTACACGTGTCAGTTATCAACCAACAGGTAATAAAGAAGTATTAGGTGACAGTCACCGGCTCGTCCGGTCAAGTTTTGTTCTCTGTGATTTTGTGTATATAACCAGAAGAGCCTGTCTCCAGCTTTCTCTTTCCCCTCCTCTATAAAAAATTCCATTAATAAATTTTTATTATTTTAGTAATTACAGCTCGAAATTCGTCTTCTTCCTTCCTCTGTTTTTCGATTCGGTTCGGTTTAAAGGTTGAATCTTTAAGTCTGTGTTGTGATTTGACTTGGGTCTATGCTCTGATTCGAAGCTTCCACTTCACAGTTCTTGCCTCTTGGTATGTTTTGTTTCTTCCTTTGTTAGCTTTTGTCAATGTTTTCTAGGGTTTAGTTTCTGGGTTCTGTAATGAATTTTTTTAAAATTAGGGTTTTGATTTCAATTGAGGTTTAGTTTGATAAATTTAGCTTTTTTTTTTATCTGTACCTTAAAAATTAGGGTTTTGAATTGAGTTTCGCTTTATTTGGATTTAAGTTTTTTTTTTATTACAGAGTTTTGAGTTTAATGTCTGTTCTGTTCTCTTGTCGGAACTTCAGATTCGAGTGTGTTTCCGTTAGTGGGCAATGTTCTTGATCTGATTTTATCGCTAAAAATGTAATCTTTTTACATATATAAACCATTAAAGGTGAGACCTTTGTGTTATTGGGGTTTTGAATTTAGTTTCTTGATTTTTTGTAAGTTATTACAGAGTTTGAGTTTAATGTCTGTTTTGTTCTCTTGTCGGAACTTCAGATTCGAGTGTGTTTTTTGGATAGTGGGTAATGTTCTTGATCTGATTTTATCGCTAAAAATGTAATCTTTTGCAGATATAACCCTTAAAGGTTCGACCTTTAATGGCTGCTGGAATGACACCATCGTCTTCAACCTCAGGGATCTTCTTCCAAGGAGACAATGATGAATCACAAAGCTTCATCAACTCTCACTTCACTTCCTCTTACGGCAACAACAACAACCCTCCTGGTTGTGGTGGCTACCACAACCTCAGTGATCTTCACAACCCTGCTGCTATGATGTCTGTCTCAACCCCTGGAGCTAGCTCCATGGTCACTGACGCCAACTCAGGAGGAGGAGGAGGTCTCTCCGGTGGTGGTCCTAACCTCCAGCGTAGTGCCAGCATCAACAACGAGTCCTACTTGCGTTTACCCGCTTCCCCATTGTCATTCTCCTCTTCATCGGTCGCCGACGGGTCCACGGTAGTGCAGCGAGGAGGCTCCAGCGCTACCTCGCTTCGCCGCGGGGCCTCGGAGACTTTCTTCCAGGACCCTACGCAGGCGAGGAAGAAGCCTCGCGTGGATTCGAAGCAGGACGACGCTCTCCAGCAGCAGATATTGCGTCAGTGGCTTCAGAGACAGGAGCTGCTGCATCAGCAGCAGCAAGGGCAGAACCCACAGCTTCAGCTTTTGCTTCAGCAACAGAAGATTAGGCAACAGCAACAGTTTCTCCAGTCTCTCCCGCCGTTGCAACGGATTCAGCTGCAACAGCAGCAACAGGTGCAGCAGATGCAGCAACAACAACAACAAGTAGCTAATGGGCCAAGGGCTTATGAGAATAGCGTCTGCGCTCGGAGGTTAATGCAGTATCTATATCACCAACGGCAAAGACCTTCTGTGAGTATAGAGATATAACTAGAAACAAGCTCTTTTTGAACAGTAACTTACTTGCTGTTCTTTTTGTAGGAGGGGAGTATAGTTTATTGGAGGAAGTTTGTGAACGAGTACTTTTCACCACGTGCAAAGAAGAGATGGTGTCTCTCTCATTATGATAATGTTGGTCATAGCGCACTTGGTGTTTCTCCTCAGGCTGCAACGGTTTGTATTTTCCCATTTCTCTTTTTTATTTTTATTTTTCTGGTTTGTGCTTGTTTATACCACCTTATCATGGTTCTAAAAATTGCTTATTAATCAGTTTGAACCATTCTGAATCGGTTTAAATCAATTTGAATGGTTTAAACCATTTTGAATCGGTTTAAACCATTCGGAATCGGTTTAAAGCATTCTGTATCGGTTTTAAATCAATCTGAATCGGTTTAAACCGGTTTAGATCAATCTGAATCAGTTTAAACCGGTTTAAATCAATCTGAACATTGAACAATGAACATGATAATAGTATTTTTTGCTATGTGCAGGAAGAGTGGCAGTGTGATCTTTGCGGTTCTAAATCAGGAAGAGGATTTGGTAAGTTCCAGATTTAGCAACATTGTTTATGGTCATGATTCATGAAACATCTTCTCTTAATAAGTTTTTTTTTGTTTTAATTTGATTCTGTAGAAGCAACTTTTGATGTGTTGCCAAGGCTTAACGAGATCAAGTTTGCAAGTGGTGTCCTTGACGAGCTTCTTTACCTCAGCGTCCCTGCTGAACGGAGATTCCCTTCAGGAGTTATGGTGTTGGAATACGCAAAAGCAGTTCAGGAGAGTGTGTATGAACATATCCGTGTTGTCCGTGAAGGCCATCTTCGGATCATATTCTCCCAAGAGCTTAAGATCCTCTCTTGGGAGTTTTGTACTCGTCGACATGAAGAGCTGCTTCCTCGCCGCCTTGTAGCTCCACAGGTATAAGAACAATTGAATCTCTTTGTGATCTTTGATAACTCTTTTATCTTATTAACAAGCTATTGTCTCCTTTTCAGGTGAATCAATTGCTTCAGGTTGCAGAGAAGTGTCAGAGCACAATTGATCAAAGTGGACCAGATGGGATTCATCAGCAGGATTTGCAAGCAAATAGCAACATGTGAGTCAATGAATCTTGATAAGTTCTGTCTTAATATCTATACATTATATGATGTGTTGATTGATGCCAAGTCTTGTTTTGCTTCAGGGTCATGGCTGCTGGGAGACAACTAGCGAAAAGCTTGGAGTCACATTCACTCAATGACTTAGGCTTTTCTAAACGTTATGTTCGGTGTTTACAGGTACTTTCTATTTATAGTAACTTTCCTAATGTATCAGCATCATCCTTGACGTCTTGTTTCTTGTAAAACAGATCTCTGAGGTTGTAAGCAGCATGAAAGACATGATTGACATGTGCCGTGACCAAAAAGTTGGTCCAATAGGTAAACTTTGTTACATTAACCTAATTCCATATTCTTTGTGCTTATAATGAAGCTTTTGCTTACATGTGCAGAGGCGTTGAAGAGTTATCCATATAGAATGAGGACAGGGAAGATGCAGATGCAGGAGGTGGAGCAAGTAGCAGCTAATGCTTCTCAAGGACTTGCACCTGATAGGAACAGTGTCAACAAGCTAATGTCATTGCGCAATAACATACCTATGAACGGTGGTCAGGGCTCTGCACAAGCCGCTGCTTTTGCTCTTACCAATTACCAGACCATGCTAATGAAACAGAATGCTGAGCAAACCAACGGTAGTCTCCAGCAAGAATCTACAAGAAACATGAGCCCATCTCCGAGCTATCAAGGAGCTATTGGTTCTTCCCATCTGTCTCCTCAGTGGCAAATGCCAAGCTCTAGTTATAGTAACTCCTCAGTTCATCAGCAATACCAACAACAACAGCAACCTTCGTGTAGTGGCAGTAATAACCAAGCGCTGGAGCAACAGATGATTCACCAGATATGGCAACAGATGGCAAACAGCAACGGAGGCGGCTCCGGGCAACAGCAGCAGACACTGTCTGGTCAGAACATGGGAAGAAACAGGACAGATTATGTTCCCACTGCGGAAACACCGAGCACATCCAACAGGTTCAGAGGTGTTAAAGGGTTAGAGCAGGGGCAAAACCAGGAAGGGATGGTGGTGTCATCTAATAACACATGTTTCAACTTTGAGAATAACGGCTTCTTTAGCAATGGGGTTGATGAGAGCATGGAATATCCTTGGAAGGCATGAAGGAGAGTTGGTTGGTTAGTTAGTCGTTTTGTAAAGAAATATGAGAAGTACTAAAAGACTTAGAGACCATCTTTAGGTTTATGTTGAATCTCTTGAGGAGAGTTCATCAATGTTAACTTTGTTGCTTTACTTTAGACTAAAACTTGTGTTTTTATCAAGAGGTGTTTGGAAAATGACAAAATGTTGTCTAGATAGACTGTTCTTCAGTAACTAAACTCATCATCATTACCAGCACTCGTAAAGCAACCTTGTCGAGATTTAACAGGCTGGCTTGTCTCCCCCTCGTTGCTATGGGAGTTTCCTGTTTAATCCAATCTATTTTTGTTTAACTCTTTACTTTAGCCAATAAAACACAAACACACACACACACGTTGTATTTTTGTTATATAACTCTTTACTTTAGCCAATTAACTTTATGTAATACTATTAAATTTACCAAACTTTGAAATAACCTTTTATTTTTTTTTATAATATAGTTAAACTTGTATTACAATTTAATACATTTTTATTAAGATAAATATATTTATTCTATTATGTGGTTTTTATAGTTAATAGTTTGTAAATTTTAATATAATATAGTATTATATATAAAATAAATACAAAATATAATATTGTTAAACCAAAAAAAAAGAATAAATTTTATTAACATAAAATCACAAATAATAATAATTATAATATGTAAATGTGATAAAATAAATTTTATCAATTACAAATAATAAAAACATAAAAAATCATTAAAACTGAAAATTTCAAATAATATATAATAATGTTATTGGTGCAATGTTTGGTGTCACGGTTGGAGATAACCAAAAATATTTTACACCAAATTGTTGTATTTTCAACACCAAATTTGGTGCCATGGTTGTAGATACCCTAAGAATATAAACAGTTGAATCTCTGAAAGTCGGGGTTCCTCACCGCGTTTTAGAAGAGAGAGAGAATGATTTGGTGATGTGAAAAAAAAAGAATAGTGATGTGTTGACACAGAGTAGGGACAAATAGAAAACCTTGGGAGTAGGTTTGGGCAAAAAAACCGAAACCAAAAAACTGAACCGGAACCAAGCCGAAATACCCGAAATCGAAACCGGACCAAAATTCTTAAATATCCAAATAGTTCATATATTTCTATATCCGAAAAACCGAATCGAGAACCGAACGGGTATCCGAATATCCGAAAAAACAAGTTAATTTTTTAAAAAATAAGATAAAATGACATCAAGCCCACTTGAACCCAGGTTAGATACAAAGAGTAAGTACAATTTACCACCAGACCACGTTATGTTTTATTTATTCTGTTATATTATAAATATATATGGTATTTCTATATTAAAATATGATAATATAAATATTCATAAAATTAACATTTTATTGATTCAAACTTTTGTTAGATTGACGAATATGTAAGCATGTAAACACTAGACCATTTAAATCAACATATTAACTATTATATTATATATATATATTTTTTTTTTATTTATATATTAAATGGGTACCCAGAATCGAAATCTCTTAAGTACCTATTGGGTATAAGAATGATTTATCCGAGATACCCGGAAGCAAATGGTTCCTATCCGGAACCGAACCGAATATCTGAATAGAATAACAAAAACCGATTGAATTGGATTCGGTTAAACCAAAACAAACCGGTTAAACTAAAACCCATAAGTTTCCATCTCCTTCCATCATTTTTCTCCGTCCTCGCCGTAATCAACAGTCTTCACCGTCACCGTCACGTCTTCTTCTTCCATTACAAGGTTCATGTTTCTATTGACTCATCTCATAGACTCATATTTCAGATATATGAGTTGATTGCTGTAACGAAAAGCTCTCTGCTTTCAATCTAATTCCGTCTCCAAATCATCTACAAACCTTAAATCTCTGTCCTTTTTCGTCTTTTTACTTTAATCCAATATCAAAAGGTTTAATCTTTAACCTTAAAAAAAACCACACATCTTTATTACTCTACAGGAACTCTGTTTCAGACTCTGCAAATGGCTTTCAGACGAGCTTTATCTACAAGGACAACACTCATCACTCGACAAAAGCAACTGCCTTATCATATTTCAACTCGTGAGAATGATCATAAAGAAGATTCATCATTCACGTCTCAGAGAAGAAGAAGTTACCATAGCTTCTTCCTTCACCAAAGACACTCTACCAACTCTGTTCCCACGTGTGGCTCTGCTTTTGCGTTATGTAGATATATGTCTAGTAGTGCACATCATGGTGTTGGTTCTGAGAAGATTGGTGTGGTTTCTGATGTAGCTCAAGTTATAACTGACTCGGCGTTGCAAGATGGGTCTGCTCAGGCTGCTGGTGGTGGTGTAGTTAGTGAGGTTGCGGTTGCAGCTAGTGACTCTTTTTTGCCTATTGCGGCTCTTCAGCATTGTATTGATATGGTTCATTCATTCACTGGTTTTGAGTGGTAAATATACTTTTCAGTTTTTCTTTGTTTTCTAGGATCTTATATTTAAGAAGAAGAGCTAGGAATCAGTGTTAGTCTCTTTGTAAAAAAGTATGTTAATGCTCAAAATCTAGATTTATACATGTGAGTTAAATCCTGAATAATTGCATTTGGATTTTTTTTTCATATCCTTTGTGGCTATTTAAACAGGTGGGCATCTATTGTTGTAGCAACAATAGTGATAAGGTCATTAACAGTTCCTCTCTTGATCAAACAAATGAAAGACACCACAAAGTTATCGGTATGTAATTGTCTCCCCTGTTTACTCTTTTTTTTTTGCAACTTGGAGACCATTTAGGATGATGCATCTATTCTCCTCTCTCTTGTTTTATCCATTTCGAGATAATTTTTCTTTGTGTTTCCAAATGTTAATAGGATTTAGGGATCCTTTTTTGATAAGAGGTGTGGTCTCCTGAGACCGATCATATAACAAACTTTACAATGATTCTTATTTCCATTCGTTTGTGACCAAAATTTCTCTTCACCACTTGGGAATGCACACATTAAGCATGTGATTGATAAGAGAGTTATGAAGAATCCTAGAGTTAGTGAATTAATGTAAGTAAGTCTAAGTCTGGACTCTGAATGTGTGTTAGCTAGTTTTCTGGCTATTTTTTTTACTGTTATTGGTAGAACCTCTACTTATTGTAGTTGCCAGATATGAGTTAGTAAAAGGAAAGCATATCTCTATGCACGTTAACCTATTCTTCTGTCATTTATATTTGTTTCTTTCTCTTTCCTATGCTGCATCCATCAGTAGTCTGTTCTATGATCATGCAGCTGATGAGGCCGCGGTTAGAGTCCATCCGCGAGGAAATGCAAAGCAAGGTACGCTAAGTTTGTTATCACAGCCATAAATCATGCACTGACTACATTCACCACTTAGATTTAGCTCAGAATTCCCTTGCCTCCATGGTTCTTTTGATTTCTCCATTTACTTTCTCCCTATATGTATTCAGGGAATGGACCACGTTACGATGGCAGAAGGTCAAAAAAAGATGAAGAATTTGTTTAAAGAGTAAGCAAATGTGACAGAATCCAAACCCATAAAACTTGTTTATAATTTTTACTTAGTCGAGTGTTCTCTCAGCTGTTGTCTTTGCTCGAGCATCATGTGACGTTGAGTATATTGGTAGATATGTTTACATAACAATACACTCTTTGTTTATGGTTTACAGATATGGTGTCACTCCGTTCACTCCATTGAAAGGGATGTTTATTCAGGGACCTCTATTCATCTGCTTTTTCCTTGCTGTAAGACCTTTTCAATCCTTAAAGCTACCTTTTAGCTTATGTTGTTTGATATTTTACTCACTTGCTTTTCTTCCCTCCAGATTCGAAATATGGCAGAGAAGGTACCTTCATTCCAAACCGGAGGTGCACTATGGTTCACCGATCTAACCACTCCTGACAGCTTATACATCTTACCGGTTTTAACAGCATTGACATTCTTGATAACCGTTGAGGTAAACATACAGTTTTAGAAACAGTTTTGACACATCTTCAACATTTGTCAAGACTTACTAACTTGAGGTTGGATTTTTCACCTCTTAGTGTAATGCACAAGAAGGCATGGAAGGCAATCCAATGGCAGGCACTGTGAAAAACGTTTGTAGAGGTTTCGCTCTCCTCACAGTTCCCATGACAATGAGTTTTCCTCAGGCTATATTTTGTTACTGGATCACATCCAACTTGTTCTCTCTCACGTATGGACTTGGTAAGTGAGTGAGTGAATGTGACTAAGATTCATAGTTGCAGCATAACACTAACAATGAATAGTTTTAACCTCACAGTGATTAAGCGTCCTCAAGTGAAGAAGCTGTTAAAGATACCTGAGCTACCTCCACCTCCTCCAGGTCAACAACCTTCCTTTGACTTGTTTTCAGCTCTCAAGAAAATGAAAGCCATGACACAGGACCAAGCCCAAAACGAGACACAATCACCTTCTTCGCCAGTAGTAAACCAGAGGTTGTCGTCGTCGAGTCCTGTTAGTAAGAGGCTCAAGGCTTTGGAGAGTCAAGTTAAGGGAAGGAAGAAGAATAGCAGCAAGAAGAGATGATTCAAAAGTGGTTGCCGTTTTACTATTTTTCTTAGAGTTCTAAAGGAAAAAGAGTTGATAAGAAGTGTTTGATTCATAAGTGTAGAGATGCGGAGAACTTATACTACACAGTATGCTCTCATTTTGATGAAACTAATCTCTCTGAGTCATATATAATCCATTTCAAAGTTGCAGCATAACACTTGACAATGTGGTGATGAATTACAGTGATTAAGCGTCCACAAGTGAAGAAGCTGTTAAAGATACCTGAGCTACCTCCACCCAAATGCCAGATCAAAAAGAGTAGAGACGATATGAAGATAGAAGACTGTTTAAATATTTAAAAACTTATTGTACATTGTCATCCATGTATAACCAATAAAGAGACCTCTGCAAGGGATTAAAGAGCTACTTATAAAAAGAAACCAATACCAACCTCCCAGCTAACAACTCCAAACCATCATTTCTACTTACAAAAGAGCCTTCCATGTAATCTAC